ACAACAACAAGCGCGGGGCGGCCCCCTCCCCCCCCGCCGCGCCGCCGACCAACCAGCGCCCCCGCCGCTTCCGGCATGGCGCGTCACCGCGCGCGTCACCCCCGGCCCGCCCCGCCTCGCTCCGCCCCGGCTGCTCGGTCGCGTCACCGCCGGCCCCGCCCGCGCGGTTCATTCATGGATGGGGAAGGGGAGGGGGTGGTGACGTCACGAAGCCACGCCCCCTCGATCGCCGCCGCGCTGCGTAGCGCCGCGCCCCGCGCTCGGGCGGTCGGACGCGGGACTGCGGGGCGCGGGGTCGGCGCGAGGCGGCCGCGATGCCACCGGGGCGGCTCCTGGCCGGGCCTCCGTTCGCGGTGAGCCTGAGCCGCTCCGCTCCGCACCGGTCCTCTCTGGGGAGCTGCCGTGCCCGCAGCACCGTCCCGATGGCGTTTCGAATCGCCGTAACGTCCAACAGAAAGAAAAATGGCCCAAAGATCAGAGAATCGGAGTGTCGTTAGGGTTGGGAAAGACCTCGAAAGTCACCAAGCCCCACCACAACCCGTCGCCACCGTGGGCACCAAACCCTCGGTGCCGGGCTTTGCAGCACCTCCAGGACCATCGGCCCCACGGCTCCGTGTGCAGCACTGCTATTGCATCACCGCTCCTTCTGAGCAGAAACTTCTAAGAGCCAACCTGACCCTCCCGTATTGCAGTGTGAGGTCAACACAGGTGGCTGAGCAAACCCAACAACCTCCATCGAAACCGGACTCCCACTGCGTTTATGAGCAGGGCTATTTACGGCTGCATTGCGAAGCCAGCGCTGGCTCTTTGCAGTTTGTGCTTTCCAGCCTCAGGGCCAAACCTCCTCAAATAGCCGCAGCTGAGGGCCGCTGTCAGGCTTTGCATAAGGTTTCACCTTTCGCCGCTCCTTTTGCACAACGTGGGGAGCCCCACGTAGGGCACAGCAGGAGAGTGTGGGGCAAAGCAGAGTGTTGGAAACCTCCGGTGCTGGGACAGAGCTAACAAAGTTGGTTAAAGCTTCCAGGCGGCGGCACAGAGCTGCAGTACTGCTGGTCTCACCTCTCCCATGTTTGCAGACTCTGGTTAAAATCTGGCCCTCTGGCTGAGTCCTGCTGGGCTCAGGGTTCAAGGGCAGTTCCGAGCCAGCCCTGTGCTCCATGCTGAGTTCTGGATGTGTTTTGTATCCTCATCTCCCTTTCCAGCTCACAGAGCCGAACAAAGGACAGGAGACCCGTGGCCACCACGTACCCCTGCAGCTACCTACCCTGCTGTGTATTGCGGGTGGTGGGGGGACACAGAGATCCTGGTTGCATCCAGGGCTTCTCCCTCAGCTGGTGGCTGTATCTTACGTGTGGTCTCTCCCTCTGCGGTGACCCGAAGTGGGACATTCTCCCCTGGCTTTGCAAGGATGGGATTGAACATACTGCGTATGGCTTGGGAGGGGGGGTTGTTGAAACTCAGCTTCTGGGTGAATTGGCCATTCACAACAGATCTGGATTTTTGTTTCCATTCCCGGAGAAAGCAGCTTTGCTCCAAAGGTCTGTTGTCCTTTGCTGCTGACCTTTGGACTGCAGTGGCCTTCAACAGCAAACGAGTGGCTCTGATCCCCTGAGAGTGCAAACCTGGCTGGGAGCATGAACACACACCCACTCCTTAGCCAGGAGAGTGTGAGCACACGGCAGAAAGTGCACTTGGTGAAAAATAGAGGGACAAAAGGGGCCTTGCTGTGGGGATGTGGGGAGCTGTGGGGCAGCCCTCGTGCTGTGTGCTCAGAACAGGTCAGGCACCATGGAGCGCTCAGCACAGGCATCTCTTCCACCCTCTGCTTGGGCTGAAACGCTCTGATCCTGAAAAGGGGAGGCTGGAAATGTGAATGTGCAGGCTCTTGAGACCCAATGTGTATACAGGAAAATTGAAAACGAATCATTCATTTCCCATGTTCTCCACCACGGGGCTTTGGAACAGCATTGAGCGTGGACCTATCGATATATACAGACGCTCTAAAAATGTGCAGCAAAGCAAAGCAGACGAGAGAGCAGCTGAGAAGTCAGCTGAGAGGCGCGTTAGCAGGCGCTGCTATTAGAAAGGAGCGGTAGGTGCTGGGCAATTGCTCGGAGTTTTACGGCGAAGCAGGCAGGGCTGCGGTGCTGGGAGCCCCGAGCCCGTGCTGCCCGCACCGCCGCCTGCAGCCACAGTATCAAGAGGACACACGTGGATGTAAGCGCCTGGGTTGTGCCCACCGTGCTGGGCTGGGGGCCCCGCATCCGCCCTTGCACTTTTTGGCAGGGCTGGCTCTGCGCCCTCTGCCCAAAAGGCCATTGCTGCGTCGCCGTGGCCTGGCGTGAGCGCGCGTGGCCGGGCAGGTGGCGTGCCGAGCAGGTTGGGATCGATGTGCAGAGGCGGTCGGGTGTGCATGCAGGGGGTGAGGGCACCCGCTGCGTCCCGTTCCCACCAGCAGCCCCACGGCACGGGATGGGTGCCGAGCGGGGTGCTGAGCGGGGCGGGCCATTTTGGTGCAGGGCCAGGGGAGGGCCGACGGGGATAAAATCCGCTCTGCAGCGAGGGGCACCGCGCTGAGCTTGTGCAGATTAGGGGAGCGAGGTCTGGGCTGGAGGTGGGCAGGAGAAAGTTGCGTCCTTGTTTATAGCTCTGGGACTGCGCCCTGCAGGCAGCAGGAGCGGGGGCTCTGCTTCGCTTGCAGTCTGGAAGACGTTTGCCTGAGAAGTTTCTAAAATCGTATGTTATCAGTGGGAGGCAAACACTGACGGCATATTCCCTGCTGTCCTCCCTAGGCTGAAAGGTCTGACTCAGGGCTTTGGGCATGAGCAGAGGATGCTCAGAACAGAGGATGCTCCACACCTCACGCTCCCAGCACTGCGACTGCCCCAGTGGGTGGTTGGGGACTCGCTTTTGCTTGCCAATCTTCTGGAAATGCCACAACACATACATTCAGACCTGGGCAAAACTCTTTGCAGGAACAGTGCCACCACCCCAGACCCAGAGCGTGTGGAGTTTGGTCTGGTGGTCCTTGGGGCTGCAGCAGAGCCTCATGGCTGCCTCTGTGCTGTAGTGGGGCTGGGCATGGGCAGCTCCAGACAAAGCCATCAGTGCCATAAGTTTGCAGAGCACATCTCAACCAATGCAGAAAGCTCTGCATCAGGCTCAGGGAAGCCTTGCATGAACTTCCTCTGGCCATTTCCCATGCACTCTTCATCTCTCTCCCCTCGCTGCAGCCCCAGGACAATGAGGTCATATCAGAAGTTGAGGACATCGGTGCCACAGCTGGTATTGAGCCAGGAGGAGGAGGAGGAGGAGAATTCAACCACCCCGACAGCTGCTGGCCGCAGCAAGCTGGCCCCATGGTGGGTGGGCAGCGGGCTGCTGATCACCGCCGTGCTGCTGAGCACCATCACCGTCTGGGTGCTGCGACAAGTATCCAGGGGCTGGCATGGCCCTGCACCACCTTCCCAATGCCACCTGGTCCCTGAGAGCCACCGCTATGACTGCTACCCCGAGAGGAGCGTGGTGGTGACCCAGGAGCTGTGCGAGAGCCGGGGGTGCTGCTTCATCGAGACCCTCCCTGCAGTGGGGGGCAAACGTGGGGTGCCCTGGTGCTTCTATCCACCCAACTTCCCCAGCTACGTGGTGCAGAGCCTCAACCAGACGGCGCTGGGTATGACGGGGCTGCTGGTGCGCAGGGAGAAGGCCTATTACCCCAAGGACATCCAGGTTCTGAGGATGGATGTGGAGTTCCAGACGAACACACGGCTGCGCATCAAGGTGAGCGTGCCTCCAGCTCTCTTCCAGGGCTCTGCACTCTGTACCACGTCTGTAGATGTTGTCCCCTGCTCAGAGAGAGGCTGGCAGCTGCTTTGCTCCTGGCATGAACACGTGTCCTCAGTGAGCATCTCCAGCCCTCCTGTTTTGCTGGTGTTCATAGTGTCCTTTTTCCCTGTTGCAGATAACCGATGCAGCCAAGCCCCGGTATGAGGTGCCCCTGGAAGTTCCCCGAGTGATGAAGAGAGCAGAAAACCCCATCTACAGCCTGGAATTCTCCCAGGATCCCTTTGGGGTGCTGCTGCGGCGCCAAGGGACAGGGACAGTGCTGTAAGAGCCCACCTTCTCTATGTGTCCTTCCCTCAGTGGGATTCAGCGTGCCTCCCTGAGGGCTTTCCTTAGGGAAAAACACACCTACACATCTCAATCCATCAGTTATCATTGCTTTCATCCTTGCTGCAAACTCTGGTGCTCACATGGGGACACAGCAGCACGTGGCTTTCTGGCCATGCAGGACTGGGTGGGATCAGCACCTACTCCCAAACCAGCACAATACCCCAAATCTCCACCGGTGTCATGGAGCTGCTCCAAACTGTATCTTGAGTGAGGCACAGCCCTGGGATGCAGGACCCCAGCGTATCACCAGGGATGGACCTGGAGGCTTGGGGAAAGGACCAGCAAAGGGCCGCAGCTCTGCCTGCTTGGCCTTGCTTTTGGGGTTCTCCAGAGAGCTGTCTATGGTGTGGGAACTCCCCAGCAAGCGCTGGGTTCAGGCTTTTGGGGAAAAAAATACCAGTGGATTCGCTGTGCTGCTTCAGTCTTCTCCATGGCTTTGCCTGAGCTGAGCCACAGCGAGCTGCAGTGCTCAGCATAGGGCAGGGTGTCCCAGCACTCCCCCAGATCCTGTCCTGTCCTCCTCCCTCCCATTTTGGGCCCTGTGGTCTGTCTTTTCCTCAGGAGCTGCTTATCAGCAAGGGCAGACAGAGAACTCCCTGGCTGCATCGCCTCGGTGGTTAATTATAACCGGAGTGGAAACTGCCGGTGTCAAATGAATGGCTGTGTGGGGTTGGGCTGGCTGGGGTCAGGATGTGCCACCACCCAGACCCCAGTCTGCCCTAACAGGACTGGAAATGGGATGGGATGCACTGCTTTGCTGACATCGAGATGCTTCTAGAGGGAAGGGCACGTCACTGTGAGGGGATTACCATCCCCTGGTGACCTTCTCTCCCGCTGTGTCACCCGGCAGGCTCAACACCACCGTGGCTCCCCTGATCTTCGCTGATCAGTTCCTGCAGATCTCCACCACGCTGCCCTCCAGGTTCCTGTATGGGTTGGGGGAGCACCGCAGCACGCTGCTGCACAGCCTCGACTGGAACACCCTCACCCTCTGGGCCCGTGATGTGGCCCCCACGGTACCCCTGGGGCAGGGAGTGATCATGGGGAGGATTTCAGTGCAATTGCAAAACGTGTGTCCTGATGGCCCTGAGCGCTTTCTGGTCCATGCAGCAGGTTGTGGTGCGGCTGCCCTGGGCACAGCTTAGCAGTGTCCAAGGAAGAAGCAGCTCCTGTGGCTTCCAGCTCCAAAACTGTCCTCACAACCCTGCCATGCCCTCCATGGGGTGATGGATGCTAGGCTGGGTGGTGGCCACTGATGTGACTTGGGAACATTGGTTAGCCTGAGTCTCATGGCTCTGAGCTGAGCTGCTCTACCCGGGAGCTGCTTTCTCACCAGGCAACCCCTGCTTGCAGGAATCCTTCAATCTGTACGGCGCTCACCCCTTCTACCTGCTGATGGAGGAGGGCGGCGATGCCCACGGGGTTTTCCTCCTCAACAGCAATGCCATGGGTAGGTGTGTGGCGTTGGTTCGGGATCTTGGGGCAAGAGGAAGCCATAAAAGGGAAAAGATGTGGTCCGATGGCTCCGTTATTGAGCTGAGCCATCTGTTTCCTGGCTGAAGCGAGGCTCTTTAGCAACTGCTGAGCAGTTTAACCGCACGCCCAGCTGCTGAATTGCTGTTGGAAAAGCGAGTCTTTCCCATGCAGCTCTGTGCCCATTCCCCATCTGCCCAAAGCAGCCTTGCCCTGAGGCTGTCAGGGTGTGCGATTCCTGCCCAGACGGGGATGCTGCCTGTGCTGTCCCCAGCTGTCCCCAGCTGTGCCACCTGTGCCCTGCAGCACCTTCCTGCTAGTAGCCCCACGGGGTCCTGCTTTGCCAGGATGGCACTGGCGGTCACCCGTCCCCCCTCCAGTAGCCATCTGGGACCGTGCTGCTCAGAGCAGGGCTCCAGCTGTGCTCAGCTTCAATGCAGCTCTGCTTCCCAGTGTGAGCGTGGAGCAGAGCACGGGGAAATGCATCACCCAGCTGAGGTCTGAGGGCTCAGCCATGTGAAAAACCCAAGATCACCCTGCCTCCTGTGCACTGGAGGAAGGCATGCATTTGGTTTTTAAGTGAGGGCCAACAGAGGGCACAGCTTTCAACTTAAAGAGCCTGTTCATAGAGAGCTTTCTCCATGTATGAACCAGTGATCTGCCCAGCCTGTGATGGTGTAAGCCCTGGACAGCCACAGGGATTTCTCCTTTCCTGCACCGTGGTGGTGCTGCCCTGCCCCATGCTGGGATGCTCCCCAGGTCTCATTGTGCTTTTCTCCCCACTGTGCAAAGAGGTGGCCTTGCAGCCTGCCCCGGGCCTGACCTGGAGGACCATTGGAGGTGTGCTGGACTTCTACATCTTCCTGGGGCCTGACCCCAACATGGTCATCCAGCAGTACCAGGAGGTGATAGGTAAGCACACACACCATTAAGTGCTCTTCCCTTTGTCTCCGTGCCTGCATCACCCCACCCCATCCCCATCCCCATCCCTCCAGGAACACCACGTGGTCACCCCATACTCCATCTCCCCTTTTCCCTTCCTCTTCCACCCCCTTCCTCTCCCGTCCCTTTGCCATGCTGACACTGCTTGTGGACACACTGCAGGTTTCCCAGCCATGCCGCCGCTCTGGGCGCTTGGCTTCCACCTCTGCCGCTGGGGCTACGGCTCCAGCAATGAGACCTGGCAGACTGCAAGGGCCATGAGGAACTACCAGATCCCACAGGTACCCCGAGGAAGGAGGGAGGGATGGGGGCTGTGTGCTGCTGCCTGCTCTGAGCCCATTCCCCGCAGGATGCTCAATGGAACGACATTGATTACATGGATGGGTACCGGGACTTCACCTTCGATCCCCAGAAATTTGCCTCTCTCCCCTCACTGGTAGAAGATCTCCACAAGCATGGGCAGCACTACGTGATGATCTTGGTACTTGCCTCACTCATGCTCAGGGCTGTCACTCTCCGGAGCTGGGCTTGGTGGATGCAAGGCAGGGACTGAGGGCAGCTCATGGCCCCCTCCGGTGCCTGGGTGGTGTTAGCCAGCTCCAGGACTGGGGATTTTTGTCAGCATGCAATCTGCCTTTGGAAATCCCCTGTAAGGGCAGGGAGTGCTGAGATACGGGCCAGGTTATTGCACTACGCTCCCATCTGCTGAGGGAGCACAGGGAGGCGGGCTCCTCGTCCTCATGCACAGAGGGAGTCTGGGTTCAACTCGTGGGTGCTCGACACAGGAATCCCCGCTTCCCCACCAGTGCTGAGCTCTCATGACCCTGCGGTGCTGTCCCACTGTCAGGAAATGGGATGTGGTTCTGCTCATTGTGGGCAGCAAGGCCTGGGGTACAAACGGACCCTGGGAGGGGATGTTGGGTTGCCCCGGGCAGATTGAAGTCCCCTCTGTAGCCCAAGCTGTGTCCTGATGCTTGTTGCGTAAGTTCATGATTTCTTATATTTATCCCCCCCCACCCCAAAACCCCATAACGGGTCCTCGGGACTTGCAGAAGTGACATCTTAGAAAACGAGCCTGGAAGTGTTGAAGCAAGTTTCTGTTCCTCTTGGTTGAAACAGTCGCCATGCGTGGGCTTTGGCTGACCCTGCCTTGACTGTGCTCCCTGAATCACACTGGCATTGCAGGGGAAGGGGCCGAGAGATACTGACTCTGCTCCATCCCCAGGACCCCGGCATCAGCAGCACCAGCCCACGTGGTTCCTACTGGCCTTTCGATGAAGGCTTGAGACGGGGTTTGTTCCTAAACACCACCCAGGGGCAGCCACTGATTGGGCAGGTGAGGAGCTGGGGGAAATCCTGGGGGCTTTGCAGGAGTCGGGCTGGGATTTCTTCCCTCCTGCTGGAGGAGAAGGCAGGTGGCTGATTGCCAGGGCCCGGTCCTGCTCTCAGTTTTCCACATTTCGCCTTGTGGCATCTCCACCCGCCTCCAGAGCCAGCTCCTGTCTCGCAGAGGCACCCGGGCAAGTCATATGAGTGCATAGGGGTTGGTGGTTCTGCCTGAGGCCGATCATCTGATCCTCTCCCTTCCTGTTTTTGAGGTGGGAAGAGGTTGCCTGTGATGCTCAAGTGCCTCCAATCTGCTCCAGACCCGCAGTCAGTTTATTACCCATTCACAGCCATTTGCTCCTCCTGGCTCTCCCTCTCCTGCTGAAACTTTTAACAGTCTAATGACCCAGCTCTGTAATTCCAACACTATAATTCCTGGAGTGTGGTGAAACGCAGAGAAATCACAGCTCTTCCCCATCACTGGCACATGCAGACAGACTCTGCTCTCCAACTCACCCTGAGATGCTCAGGGGGGATGCTGCACACACAGCATCCAGCCCTTGAAGCAGTCAGCCTGGATTTTACCATTGCCTTTATTGCCTGTTTTAGCCCTGGGTCCTTCAGCACGCTCAAAGCCTCAGGGTATCTCCTTCCCCTTAGCGTTCTGCCCTGCTGAACCACTGCTCTGTGGCTTCCCTGCAGGTCTGGCCAGGCTACACTGCCTTCCCCGACTTCTCCAACACAGACACACACCAGTGGTGGCTGGAGAACCTGCAGCGCTTCCACACCCATGTGCCCTTCGATGGCCTCTGGATCGTAAGTGCTCCCCGTTGGCTGGTGCCATCTCCTTGCTCCTGGAGCAACAGCCATTGCCCGAGTACTGCTTTTCTGGCTTCATCACGTTTTGGCAGGACAGCACTCTGCATATGTGACCATCTGTGTGTGCTGGGCAAAGGGGCTCAATGGTTGCGGTGGTGTGGGAGGAAGCCTGGAGCCTGTGGGTTCCAGCACACTCCTCATGTGCCACCCTTAGACATCACTGATCCCTAACAGCTCCCCCTTCACACTGCTCTGTGGTTTTCACAGGACATGAACGAGCCATCCAACTTCATGGATGGGTCTGAAGAGGGCTGCCCGCCCGGAGAGCTCGACAGCCCCCCGTACACGCCGGGTAAGGAGGGCGGTGAGATGCAGGCTGTGCTGGTAGGTACCACGTGCTCTCATGATGCTGAAAACTGAGTGCTGTGGAGGAAAATCATTCTTCCAATACATCACATCTCTGTTCTGCTCCCTGACCGTGCCCATCCCTGCTTTCACGTACTGATCTCCATACCCGAGCATTGAACGCTTGTGGCTGTGCTGGGGCGCGGGATGGGAGTTGCTGTGGGAGCTCCCTTTGCAGCATGGGTGGCTCTGTGCCCCTCACCCTCTCCACCGAATGCCAATGGTGGCTGTCCCTACCGGCAGCTGTGCTGGGCAATTCCCTGTCCGCCAAGACGGTGTGTGCCTCAGCGAAGCAGAACGCCTCGGTGCACTACAACCTGCACAACCTCTACGGGCTGAAGGAAGCCGAAGCGACGGCGAGGTACCTGAGCACCCTGGGGATAGGATGGGTGAAAGTGTGCTGCTCAGGGATGTCAGTGTAGGAAAAGAAGTGGGGTTTGAGTGGCTGAGCCAAAGGGAGATGCTGTGGCTGCTCACAGCCTTGCCCAGAGGAACGAGGAGAGGAGGGAGGATAAAGCTGGTCCTGTTCCAAGCCCAGGGACTATGCTACTCACACTCCCAGAGCTGTCTGTAAGGGGTGAGGAGGCTCCTCAGGGCAGCTCTCACCTCCTGCTCCTCGGTCTCCCCATTGCCTTGCAGCGCCCTGATCCAGATCCGAGGAAAGCGTCCCCTTGTTATCTCCCGCTCCACCTTCCCCAGCCAGGGCCGGTACTCGGGACACTGGCTGGGTGACAACCGGAGCCAATGGAAGGACATGTATTACTCCATCCCAGGTGGGTGGTACGGTCTCACAGCTCTGCCCTTCCCCAGAAAGCACCCCAGCCCTGCTGGGATTTCCTTTCATCCTGCATTTGGGAGGTGATGGAGACCGCAAAACTCCCCGTACTCTGCTGAGCATCTCTGCCCACCCGTCTGCAGGGATGCTGAGCTTCAGCCTGTTTGGGATCCCTCTGGTGGGGGCCGACATCTGCGGCTTCTCTGGCAGCACCTCGGAGGAGCTGTGCACCCGCTGGATGCAGCTTGGGGCCTTCTACCCCTTCTCCCGCAACCACAACACCCAGAACGAGAAGGTCTTGGGCAGGATGGGGGATATGGGATGCAGGATGTGGGATTTGGGATGTTGGATGCAGTATGCTGGATTTAGAATATGAGATGTGGGATGTAGAAGGTAGAATGCAGGGGGATGCAGGCACATTCGCCCCATGGGGATGGAGATTTGGGTGAGGATGGGGCATTTGCTGACTCACATTTGTGTATCCTCCAGGCCCAGGACCCCACAGCTTTCAGCCCCTCAGCAAGGACAGCCATGAAGGACGTGCTGCTCACCCGCTACTCCCTCCTGCCCTTCCTCTACACGCTTTTCCACCGTGCCCACCTGCAGGGGGAAACCGTCGCCCGACCTTTGTTCTTTGAGTAAGAGCACCCTGATGGGAGCTGGTGAGATGCTGGCTGTGGTTTGGTGGTGAAGGAGTAACTGATGGCAGCTTTGTCTCCATCCCACCGCAGGTTCCCCTGGGATGTGGCCACATATGGCTTGGACAGGCAGTTCCTGTGGGGCCAGAGCTTGCTGGTGACCCCGGTGCTGGAACCTGGAGCAGACTCGGTGTTGGGCTATTTCCCCCAAGGCGTGTGGTACGACTTCTACACGGTGAGGAGCACCATGGCACTCACACTCAGGTTTTGGATGATTTGGGCGAGGCTCTCAGGGGATGCCGAAGCGTTGGATCATCATCTGCTGTGGGGCTTGCTACCTGAGGAGATGCTCCCTGGCCCCTTGCCTGAGTCCATCACTATGTCCCTGACCCCTCTTTGTCCTTTGCTCCCTTCCAGGGCTCCTCTGTGAACAGCAGTGGGGAGATGTTGAAGCTGTCAGCCCCCCTGGATCACCTCAACCTCCATCTCCGGGAGGGTTCCATCCTGCCCACACAGGTGAGCTCCCTGCTGCCACCTCCCTGGGCTGGGGACGGTCCCAGAGGAGTCCCCTGCTCCACGATGTGTCCTTCCTCAGTCCTCAGCATGTCATAGCCTTCCCTGCCCCGTACCGGGCACACAGCCTCACAGCTTCCTTTGAAATCCAGAAACCCGGGACCACCAGCAAGGCCACCCGAGGGAACCCGCTGCTTCTCATTGTGGCCCTGTCCCCACGTGCCACTGCCTGGGGGGACCTCTTCTGGGATGACGGCGAGAGCCTGGACACCTTCGAGCAGGGCAACTACTCCTACCTGGTCTTCAATGCCACAGAGGTGGGACATGGTACGGAGGGCAGGGGGGTGTCCAGGACACCTCGTGCTCACACCATCCCCTCCTGCAGAACATCTTCACCTCCAACGTCCTCCATGCCAGCACCGAGGCCAACTATGTCACCGTTGATACAGTGAGATTCTATGGAGTGCAGGAGCCGCCCAGCAAGGTCCTCCTAGATGGGCAGGAGAAGCCCTTCTTCTACCTGGACAACCAGGTATGGCTTTGTGTTGGCATGCTGTGTCCTGGGGGTGCCCATGCCTCCTCTCCCAGCCCTCATGGGAGGGGTAGGAGGGCGAAGAAGGTGTTCTTGTGCCGTATGGAGGGTTGAGGTCATTGCATAAGGGCTGGAGGAGCTCAGCCATGCTGTCCCCTCATGTCCTGCAGGTCCTCACCGTCAGCGGCCTCGGGCTCAGGCTCAGCCAGGGCTTTACCCTGCAGTGGCTGTGAGCTGGGGGGCACGGGGCTGCCTTGCTATGACCTACTGTGCACGTTCCTGCTCCAGCCCTCGGAGCCAGGATGGTAACACAGGGGCTGTCATCTGTCATCACCCGCTGCTGCAGATGGGGGGCAGGGGATGTGGGGATGGGGTGGGGCACCATCTGTGTCATCAGTGTGAGGTCAGGGCTGTGCGCCCATGGCCCCATCTGCAATTAAAGGCACGCAGAGAGCTTGGTGTCTGGTTGTCCTTCTGTCCTCACACATCCCACAGTTCTCCCCCATGCTCCCCGATCCCTTACGTTCCCCAGTTCACCCTTATGTCCCACAATTCCCCTTTATTCTCCACCGTGTCCCCCTGTTCCGCAAACCCTCCAATTCCCCCTCCGTCTCCAAATTCCCCCTCCATCCCCGATCCCCCATGACCTCAGAACTGCAGTTCCACTCCAGCCCGCGGGGCGGCGCCTCACACCGTGCCCTAACGGGACCTCCGCGACCTCCCACCACCAGGCGGCGCGATCTCTGCTTACCCATGGCGGGGCGGGAGGGGCCGCTCGCCGACACCGCCCCGGCAGTGGGAGCGCACGCTTCGCTTCCGCCTTTAGGACGGGGGCGGGGGGAACTTCTGCTTCCGGGTCGCGAGGGCGGTGTGCCGGCGTCGGTGTCCGCGCCGTGCGGCACCATGAACCGACCGAAGGCGGCGGCCGTGCGGCGGCCCAGCGCCGCGCCCAAGCCCTCCGGTGAGTCTGAGGCCGCGCCCGAGAGGCCGGGGCGGGGGCCGTCCCGTTTGCCGTCGCGGTCCCCATCACGGTTGTCGTCCGTTGCAGCTCACCCGCCGCCGGGAGACTTCATCGCGCTGGGCTCCAAGGGTCAGGGCGGCGATGGCAAGGCCGCCGTCGCTCTGCTGAAGCCGGCGCCCGCCGGGCTGCCCTCGGAGCGCAAACGGGACGCGGCCGCCGCGCTGTCGGGCCCCGCGGGGCTGGGCGGGCTGAGCAAGCGGCCTAAGCTGTCTGCTACGCCGCCCCTCAGCGCCCTGGGACGCCTGGCTGAGGCGGCCGTGGCGGAGAAGCGGGCCATCTCGCCCTCCATCAAGGAGCCGTCCGTCATCCCCATCGAAGGTAAGGGCCGGCTGTGCGCCGTCGCAGCAGGGCGCAGCCTCGGCTTGGGGTTCGGTTTGCAGGAAGCCTTTCCCTTAGCCCATGCGGTGCCTTTCGTGTGCTGTCTTAAGGCTTTCCCGTGCTGGATAGGGGGCCAAAGTCACAGTTTCATCACCTTGTCTTCTTTGTTCGTGTTGGGTTGTGTTCATCTTGTCTGAAAAATTTAATAGGAAAAACACCACAGAGGGGCTAAAGGTATGCAGATTGTAGAGTCGGCATCATTAAGGTTGGATAAGATCTCAGAGATCACCTCGTCCAACTGTCAGCTCATCCCCACCACGACACCAGGCCACGTCCCTCAGTGCCACATGCATGTGTTTATTAAGTGCCTCCAAGGATGGCAGCTCCACCAGCTCCCTGGGCAGACTTGCCAGTGCCTCACCACTCCTGAGAGAGGAAAGTTTGTTGCTAATATTAACCCTGACCCTCCCATGGCACAGCTTAAGGCTGTCACCTGTCCTGCTGTCACTGTTACCTGCAAGCAGAGGCTGACCTCCGTCTTGCTACAGCTTCCTTTCAGGTGGTTGCTGCTGCCCCGTCCCTGGAGTGTTCAAGGCCAGGTTGGATGGGGCCCTGGGCAGCCTGGTCTGGTATTAAATGTGGAGGTTGGTGGCCCTGCATGTGGCAGGGAGGGTTGGAGATTCATGATCCTTGAGGTCCCTTCCAACCCGGGCCATTCTGTGATTCTGTGGTTGTAGAGAGCCTTCTCCAGAGTGAACAATCCCAGTTCCCTCAGCCTCTCCCTGCAAGACTTGTGTTTCAGATCCTTCACAGCTTCCTTGCCCTTTTCTTACATGCTCCAGGGCCTCAGTCAGTCTTGTGTTAGGAGTCCTGTCACATCCCACCTGCAAGAGAAAGGAAGGGATGGCCCAAAACCGAGCACAGTATTTGAGGTGTGGATCCATGTTTTGCTTTCCTGGCGGCTGATCCTGGCAGCGTGTCAGGGCAGGTTGTTTTGCATGAGGGTAAAAACTGGTGCCTGTGTGTTGGTTGTTGCAGTTGTGCCCACGGTGCTGCTGGATGAAATTGAGGCAGCAGAGGCGGAAGGTAACGACGACCGCATTGAGGGAGTGCTGTGTGGAGCGGCCAAGCAGCTGAAAATGAACCGAGCCAAACCTGATACCACGCTGTACCTGAGCCTCATGTACCTGGCGAAAATCAAACCAAATATATTTGCCACTGAAGGAGTTATTGAGGTGAGAGCTGTGTCACACGGGGACTCCTGGGCTTCCTGAAGCATCTGACTGTATGTTTCTGAAGTATAATTCTGGGGTTCCTGCCACATCATGGGTAGGATTGTAGCTGCTGTCTGGCCAGAAAGTAGTTAGCATGCCTTTGTAAATACTGCAGTTCTGTGGCAAGTTACTGAGATGTGTAGCTTTTTTTTCCTAAAGCTTTTCTGTATGATTTTTGGGTATGTAACTTAAATTTTTTGTTTGTTTTTTTTTCATATAATTTTCCAGGCATTGTGTAGCCTGCTCCGAAGAGATGCCTCTATTAATTTCAAAGCTAAAGGGAATAGCCTTGTGTCTGTCTTGGCCTGCAACCTTCTCATGGCAGCTTACGAAGAGGATGAGAACTGGCCAGAGATCTTTGTCAAGGTTGTTGAACAAAGGGTGTTTCTGCTGGGCTGAGGCAAGTTGTATGAAAAAGTTTGAGTGTGGTTTGTGTTCTCTGCTGCTTTCTTTCCTATAGGTTTACATTGAGGACTCCCTTGGAGAGCGCATCTGGGTGGACAGCCCTCACTGCAAGACATTTGTGGATAACATCCAAACTGCTTTTAACACAAAGATGCCTCCTAAGAGCATGCTCTTGCATGGGGAAGTTGGTCGTAGTGGTGGGGACATTAGTGCTGGTAAGTGGATGTTTGAAAAACATTAGCAAGGACTTACAAACAGATGTGAGCAGTGTGTTACTTGATGGAGTCCTCTAGAGCTGATATTGAGTTTCTGGCATTGCTTTTCCCTTCTTTGCTGCCCTTCATTTTGAGGGCAAGCAGCGAAAGACTCGAATAATGTGCTTGTATGTGTGAGTGATAAGCAGTGGCAAGAGTTGTCTCCTGATGTGTGCTTTGTGCTGATCTCTCATAGGAAGTAGCCCACACCCTTCCATGACAGAGGAGGAAGACAGCCAGAGTGAGCTGCTGATTGCAGAGGAGAAAATGAGCCCAGAACAGGAGGGCCAGCTCATGCCCAGGTAAAGTGCTTTCCTTCCCTGGCACAGCCATGTGACACATCTGCCTGTGCTCACCCACTCCTGAAGTGCTGTGGCAGAGCTCCCTCTCTGCACGAGCTGTCCCACAACACTTGCTAGAGAACATTGAATGTCAGGAGAAATGAGTAGATTTGTTTTTGTAGTCTTTACCGTGAACAAGAAAGAATGCTGATCTCTGGACACAGTGAAGCATGACAGAGCTGGCTTGGGAGAAAGTGAATAAAATGCAGTTTGTATGGCCCAGGTACGACGACCTTGCAGAGAGTGTGGAGGAGTACGTTCTGGACATGCTGCGGGATCAGCTCAACCGGCGCCAGCCCATGGATAACGTGTCCAGAAACCTCCTTCGTCTGCTGACAGCAACTTGTGGCTACAAAGAGGTGCGACAGATGGCTGTGCAAAGGCTGGAGATGTGGCTGCAGAATCCAAAGGTGAGGATGGAGACTGCTGGACCTCAAATTTTTTGGACCTGGTCTGAAATTCAGCCAGTAAGGCGAGTTCCATTTCTGTTCTGTGTTGGCCGGTGGCTGCAGTTCTCCCGTTCTTCCTCTGCAGTTGACCAAGCCAGCGCAGGACTTGCTCATGTCTGTTTGCATGAACTGCAACACTCACAGCTCAGAGGACATGGAAGTTATCTCCAACCTGATCAAAATTCGTCTCAAGCCAAAGGTCCTTCTCAACCACTACATGCTGTGTGTCAGGTGAGTGAGTGACTCCGTGTGGATGATGTGCCCAGGGCCTTGGCTCTGGATGGGCTTACTAAATATCTGCTTTGGCCATGGGAGATTGGGTCACATTCACACGAAATTCATTGGTGTGGAAACCCTTCAGTAATCCTTTAGCATCTCTGAACACACCTACTGCACCTCCTTTAGTTTTGTGTATTAAACGCTTCAAAGAAAAATCAGAACATGAATCTAGCTGAAGACTAAGCTTACAAACCTCTGGTCTTCCCTTGCAGAGAGCTGCTGAATGCACACAGGGATAACCTGGGAACTACGATTAAGTTTGTGATCTTCAACGAACTTTCAAATGCAAGGAATCCCAACAACATGCAGATCCTGTATACTGTTCTTCAGCACAGCTCAGAGCAAGCGCCAAAGGTAGGCGTAGCATCTTGTGTGACCACTGGTGGGCCCAGATCCCTGCCTGCGAGTTTTAGCTGAACTGTGTCTCAAATGAAATCTTCCCACAGGCAGCTGTGTGTGTGTATCATACTGTTTTGAGATCACCTTGTTTAACTTGTTATGCATAAATGTGTATGAGCATCTTTTGGCTCCCACATTCAGAGCGACCAGACTTGTGGCGATGAAATGTCATTAGAGACACATATTATAGCTCACAGGCGTCTGAATGACAAACAATATGCTTTTTGTTTTGTAATTGCTGATGTTTGCAGTGCACTGACAGTCCTGTTTTCCCTCAGTACCTAGCAATGGTGTTCCAGGATCTTTTGACTACTAAGGATGATTACCTGCGGGCTTCGCGGGCGCTGCTGCGAGAGATCATCAAACAAACAAAACACGAAATCAACTTCCAGGCCTTCTGCCTGGGCCTCATGCAGGAACGAAAGGAGGCCCAGTATGCAGAAATGGAATTCAAGGTAGCACTTTGCTTGCTCCATGGGTGGTACCAGGGGTGTGCTGGGCTTTTCTGTGTCTGGTCTTTTTCCCCTGTTATTTGGGTGACTCAGTATTGTGTCTTGCAATTCATAGCAGATCTTCCATATTCCGTTTCCAGACAGTCACGACTTTATCTTTTTATGATGGAA